ATAATTATTGTCCATAATGAAACAGCCCTGCTGAAYGAGCAACACTTGGTGATGATAACCACTTGCATGTACTCTGCACGGCTCACCTGGAGCAATGGATATGCAAAGGTTTCATTTGTGCACATTAAAACACAGTACAAGGAAGCAAACCAGCCTATTCTACTTATCAAAAATTTGGGAGGGGAGAAAGAGGATTTTCATCAAATTATACAGCTGTGCAGTGCTGAATCAGCTATGTTTACCTGTGGATTAATAGCAGGATTTTCAATACTGATAATCCCCAGAAAAGGATGAAATTTGGTATTTCTTCATTTTAACTGAGAGCTGAGGGAAAGAACTTAAAATAAGCAGCTGAATGCAAGGACAACCTGTTGCAGTCACCTTTGTAAGAACTAGAGCAGCAACAGACATTAAAAACTGATTTGTGAGAAATCTGTACTAATTCTCTTTGCAACTCACAGGCATTTTCATTGGAACTYTTTCACTATCGTTAAATAAGACCAAGTGTCTTTAACACGGGCAGAGAAACAAATATGGACTCACCAAGAAAAAAGTTAAACCAGCACTGAGTGTCTCAGCTCCTCTTATTAACTTCATCACCAAAGACATGGCTAGGCCTGCACTGACTCAGAAAATGTGTGAAAAAAGGTTCCTCAGTTGAATATGTCTGTGGAACTTCATTAACTCTCCTTCTCATTCCAGAACTGCAGGATCTAAGCCAATATATTCTGCAACAATTTCCTTTCCAGTCAGTGCAGGCAGAGGTACTGACTCTGCCATGTGCACTCATGCTGGTGAAAAATTTTCGATAATAGAGAAATAAAGGTAATACTGGGCTACCCTTTTTTTTTTCTTTTGCCTTTAATACCTGCATTTTATGGGACTACAGGGTTTTCAAACAGCTATATCATAACAGTCTGTCGCAAGCGTATTGGGTGTTTCAGTTTGCCAGACCTGTCATAATAAATTAATTACAGGATGTTGCAGAAGTGGCTGAGTTCCAGCAGCATCTTGCACAGTTTAATATAGACCTATTTCCCCATTTCGATGTATTTGTGGTTAGATAAATCCTCAGAAAATTTACAGCTGCTACACACTAGTTTATTATACTCCCTGCCTTTGCAGGCGATATAAATGCAACAAAAATTTGAAGTCTGCTCAGAGCATAGATTTTACTGATATTACTTTACCGGAGTGGAAACATTTTTTTCCCGCTAAAAGGTGCATCTGCAGTTTCTGCTGATTATTTACATTTGAGCATTACACAGGACTTGTAWACTTGCTTGTCACAGCCGAACACAGGGCAAATTCATTTGGCTTGACTAAGTCCTCACAAAAAATCAGGTGGACGAAGTTTTAGATGAAATGCAGAGCTGACATCTCCATCTACGACTGCAAGATAGAAAATATTTTCCCAATCTTTAGGGCTAGTATACACTAATTGCAGCCACAATGCTGTGGCTCAAAGCCTAATCCTTGCTGACTTTGCTGGAGCTTTGAGTACAGGGGTMCATCTACTCCGAGCAGCTTGCAGGACTGGGACTGTGCATAAACATCTCACTGCTGGTAAACAGCCCCTGCTGAAGGGGAGGGCAGCCAGCAACTGCTCATGCAACAGATGAACAAAAGACACGGCTCTTGCCAAAACCACTGTGAGCAGAACACACCCACGTGYAAGAAAGGGATCATATAATATTAAAAGTTTAAAAGAGCAGCTTGACTCTTGGTGTGAAGTTCCAGTGTCTGCTGTAGCTGTTTTGTACCACATGAAGAGGCTGGAGAGGACTGAATCAAGGCAGAGGTGCCCACTGTAAAAGGCAACAACTATAAAGGTGCCTTCTGAAGACCTGTGCCAAAAATCAGGGAATGAAAGCTTCATGTATCCCAACAGCTCTGCCAGTCACAGACTCTGTGGAACTTTTCAGGCTGTAGCTCAGAGTTATAACACTATGGAGCTAAGAGTTACTGGGGAGACACAGCATGTTCTTCATGGGTTCTGAGAGTTCATCTAGAAAGCTTCTGTAAATGGCACAAAACAAATGCTTTAAAAAGTGAAGTGGTTAAATATCTGAATTTCCAAAGTCTAAAAAACATGACTGAAGCAACCAAAGCTCTGCTATAACACACCTACATCTATCTTCTGTTCCTTCTTCTTAAGTTCCAATTTCTAATTGCCACATTTTTGTAAGTCTCCCCCAAGCAGCAGCTCTCTTCTCAAGTTGCTTATTTCCCTCTCTCAGACCTCCTCTTGTTTCTATTCCCTACATGCAGCAGTTCTGTTCCTAAAGCATGTATTCTAAACTCCAAGCAATAAAAYCCCTTCAACTTACACATTGTATTTTTACAAGTGCAGGTGTACATCTTTAAGTTAATTTGTCAAAATTATTCTGTATGGACATTGGACAGAACGCTAAGGGAAAAACCAGGAGTACCAACCTCTACATGAATCTTCCTGGCCTCCCTCCACCACTCAGAAAATATTTCTATCCSCTCCCAATTTCCACATCCATAAAATAGGTTGCACTGCATACATACTAATTTCATACATGCTGGAAAAGGATCATTAAAAMACCCCATCACTCTTTGTGTTTACCAAACAAGTGTTTTTGCTTTAGTCTGTTCCCGCCTTAAACGAAGTATTTCCTATTCACCTGARTAATTAGAGCAGAAGGATGTAGTGAATGAAGTGCCTCATTATCAAGTTTGCATCCACGGTCCCTGCAGAATGGCTACCATGCCGGCTATTTTTCATAGCTGTCTGCTTTTGCTTGTAATGGGCCATTGTTAACCCTAAATGATCCTGACATTCAATTCTCCATCAGACAATTGCGTCCAGCCGGCAGATTTAGTTCACTAGTCAACAGAGACTTTCGGTTGTCATGTTCCTCTGTGTTCTCATTAGCCCTTGTTTGACTGTGATCCATCCCCTACTGCCTTCTGAATTAAGTGATGCTACAAATACACTTATTATGTTTTATGATGTCTGCTCCTCAAATTATTTTAAGGAAAAAACTAAATGCAATTTGATGGCTATTGGGAAACACAGGAAAAACGTGGCCMTCCATTTTCTTCTGTGCTGCTGATTTACGCACAGCGTTCGGTATCTCTGCCATATCATAAAAACATAATAGCAACTGTATGGTGTAACCACACACACAAAACCTACAAACACCAGAACAATGAAAGACCTACGACACTGCTATCACCAGCAGCTATAAATATCTAATATTCACCCTTTTTTAAGCAACTTTTTATCTGTTTTGTTCCAGTAATGAACTTGTGTCACCCTCCAAGGAAGTCTCACAGAGACTTATAACTCTTGCATTTTAATTCACACATCAATGGTTTAGGGAACAATTCTGTAGGACACTTCTAATTCTTCATCTTAAAAAAAAAAAAAGGGGGGAAATTTTCAGTAGGGCAATTCCTTCTGGAATTCTTTACTTTCACTGAAATTTAGGCCCTCTAAGTACTTGCACAATATTCAGCAAATGCACGATATTCACTGTAAGGTGATTTTAAGAAATATGTAGACTGCATTAACACAGAAACAAGAAGCATTGTATTAGCTTTTAAATTAAAACTTCCTTTTTAAACCATTACACTAATCCAAACTCTTTAAAAGTTCTATCCCTTTTTTGTAAATTTAAAATCCCAACAGCAATRCCTGAAGAATAAAGACTCTAGTAACATCAAAAAGCAGTTCTTCTTAAAATTAATGTATCAACCATGTTTCTGAACAAAAGGTAAAAACTTCTTTGCCATTKTGCCATGCTCATAATTTGTTAAAAAGATTTTAGGGTGAAGGTTCTAATTTTAACACTGAAGGATCATAGACTTTTTTTTTAATTTCAGGTATTTTTGTTCCTTTTCTGTTAAATGAATGTAGAAAACTAGCACCAGTGACACTGTGTATAAAGGAATAGAAGTCTCTAACCAACCATGTGGTAGGGAAGAAAAAAAAATACAGAAGCAAAACAAAAGCTATTGCAATTACAAGAAAACATTATGAACAGTTTATTTTCAACTCCTGCATTTTCATGTTTGGCTCTTATCTGATTCCTTCTGCTTAATTGTTATTTGGAACTGTGCCTTGGAAGACACTACTGCTGCCTCTCCTCTCAATTTGGAAAGTGTGGCAAAGCAGCTCTATTCAGCTTCAGAGCAGTGAACATAATTGGAGCCCTAGTTCGCAAGCATGAAAGGAGGTGCTGTGCCTTTGATTAGAACTACCATCTCTCTGTGGTGTTTATCTGAAGTGTTATTTCTGTCTTCAGTGTCGACAATGCCAAATTAACATTTTACAATGCTTTCCAATGAGCTCCCASATCTTGGCTACTGCTCAGCTCTCCCTGACGTGGAGCCTGATGTCACGCTCTGCCCTTGTTTTAAACGTGACCCAGGACATTTTAAGAAATGTAAGATGTYGAGATTTTTTTCCTTTATAAAATCTCTAAATGCCACCTAGGACAATGAGCTGAAATAYACTGCAGGGAGACAAGAGGTCCTTGACAGGACCAGGCAGCCCCAGGACCAAGGTAATTTTACACCACCTCTGACTGGGGAAAGAGACATTACTAAGTCTCCAGCACACATTTGCAAACCCCATTTAGGGCAGGRCTCCATGCACACACTCCAGGCACAGCAAAGCTAGAACTGCTTGCAAATAACCACTGCCAGTGGGGCAAAAAAAAGAGTATTCTCTGGGCGCTTTACTCGAAAGAAAAGAAGTTTACAGACTTTTCTGGCTTTAAAACATGTGCAAGGAGGATATTACAATACACAGCAACTAGTCCTCTGCATCTGGGTGCATTTCACACATCAGTGCCCAGCATTGTTATTTTCACTTCTTTTTTTAATGGAATCAAGTGCCCTGTCTACTAWATAAGGGCTTTCTAATTTTATGTTATTTATTGCTTCAGAGGGGGAGGAGAAAGAATTTCCTAGCAGAGTAAAAATAAACTGGGCATCATGAGCCAGAAAAAAATACCAACACTAACTGATAGAAAGTGTTTTGTTTAATATAAAATATAAATTATTTAACACCATAGATAATTAGGGAAGTCATTAGTAGAAGTTCACAAAATAATACTCAAGTAAAAAAATAATTAATGGTACAAGTGAATAAAGACTACAAGTAAAACAAACAGCATAGTTGGATGTGAAATATATCATTGAGACAAAAGAAAGTATATTTGGCAAGAGTGCTGCCAAAGCAGCCAGGAACTCTGAAAAAACTGCAATGAATCTTTCCTATGTGCCGAACACCTCATTTGAAAAATGTAACTCCCTGGAATTTGCAACACTAATTTATTTTGATAGGAACAACTAGTCCTACTGAAGACAGTGTAGTTGCATAGGTAGCTACCCCACAATTCCCTTCAGAACTGCAAAATGCAGTCCCAACATATATTTGATGTCAGGAAAATATTTTTTAAAAGCTTGTCTTTTCAGATTCACCTTAATGTCAGCACTCCTTTGGTATTTTACCGTTCTGAACACCCTTCYATTCTACTTACAGCACACTTTAAAACATTCATTTAGTAACTTATGTAGTGGTTGGGCTTGTTTTCACACTTTTCCACTTGATTCTCTGCTCCCAGTGGACTGATCTAAAGCCTACATAAACGCCCAAGTGAAGATTTAATCAGATATCAAATTAGCAAACAATGTATTTGAAAGTGTCAGTTCTTTCTCAATCCAGTAAGGAGCTGAATCTCCAAGTTCTGTAGATTTCAAGGAACGCAGGGCAAAATTCATCCAAAACAGGTTTGCACCACTGGTAGGTCATAACTGGTACCATTTTGCATATTTAAGTATTCTAATTTCTTTGTTGTTAATCCTAGAAGAGAGATCGTAATTACAGCGTATAAAATGTGTTATGAAGATCACCCCAGTATTCTGAAATAAATTATGGCTGTGCGTCATGGCATTCTGGCTCAAAGGCAGTATTTGTCCTTCCATTTGTGCTTAAGTTTGAGCTTCTCGCTGCCTTTTTCTTCTTCTTCTTCAATTCCACCCCATGGGATGTAGGTTCGTTTTCAACACCATTAGCTGTAACTGATGACAGAGGAGTATCGACACTCATTAAGTTGTGCTGATTTTCTCTCTCATTCCTTTGTATCCTTTTCTTCTTTTTCTTTGTACCTCTAGAGGAAGGTGGATATAAAAAGAGTAAAAGAAACACAAAGTTAGCCCAAATTTAGAGCTTTTTCCACCTACAGCTGATGTGTTAGAGCAATTGTCTGCCTGTCCTCTTGAGCACAATGCTGAAACAACTACAAAAACTACTGTTCCACAGCAGAACAAAGACAGAAAAACCATGAAGACAAAATATGAGACCACTCCACTAGTCTACTTTTTTATCATAGCATTGCTTTGAAAAGAACTGCTCGTGATCTCAAAAATCAGCTCATCTTGATCAATAGACAACAGATGTAATTAAAAAATACAAATTACCAGTCTCCTCCGCTCATAAAAGAAATTGCACCTTTTTTTTTACTTTCCTAAGCTCAGACACCAAAATACTTACAATTAAGGAGAGATTCCTGGTTTATTTATACAACAAGAATAAGACACGCTGTCAAAGTGAATAAGATTAGCTTTTCCATTTTAATTTACCTGAACATGGACAGAGTCAGAAATCACTTTAATATCTATTTATGCTTTTCAGGCTTCATACGTGCCAAAAGGATCAGCCAAGCTCCTGTATCCCAGTGAGTGCCTCTGACTGGTTTTGCACACGATGCTGTGAATTATGCAGATGTTACACCACTTCTMCCATGAATTCCCACTCTTGCCAGAAGTTGTAACTTTACTTAACTATAAATATGTAACAACACTTCGACTCTAACTTTTCAAAGGAAGGTACTGTCTTTGTTAAAAATTTGTATTGTGCTAGCACAAAAGGGTCTTGGTTTATGGTCTGAACTGTAATGTTTAATGCTGCTGAAACACATAAGCAAATGGATGACTGAAGACTGAAAAATGTAATGTGTGTCTTTTCCACAAAAAGGGTGCTGCTACAAGTGYGCACTGTTGATGATACTGTGCTAATGTAATCAGACTTTATAGATTAAAAYGTTTACACATCAGCCTTGCAAATGAACTGGTGAATATCTGCCTATAGTTGGAATTTTCTTTTAAGCTAAACTGTATGCTTATGAATATGTGGATTGCTGMAGCTCTAGTCCTGGAACATCCTAAGGAAAAGATTCTGGAGTCTAAGACTCTCTGTGTTARGATTCCTAGAACAATCTGGGGAGTACTGCTGCATGAAGAAACTAGGGTATAAAGTCRTAATTATTCCATGATGTAAGTACCAGTGTACCAAACAGAGTGTTCAGCTGGGTCTTGTGTAAATTTATGCAGAGAGCACTACCTGGGGTAGCTCAACAGAAGCATGCAATGGGAACATATATATGGAGATAATGGCTGTACTGACAAATAGCAGCTAATCATTCACTTTCAAAAGGTAAGGTTACTATGCTATTTCCAATATAAAGCTACTGTAATTTTGAGAAGAAGTTTTCATCTTTTTATTATTTGAACATCAGATGTGATAATGTATCAAATCTTTAATTAAAGTCACTTAGCATCCTTTCTCTATTTCTCCTGGAGTCCGCAGAAGATACCTTAACTGCGTGGCTAAGATAAAAGTCTACTACCATCTTCTATAAAATTTGTTTTCCTATTGCAAACCCATATTTTCTACCCAGAAATTCTCAGAGATAGACACTTCATAAGGACTTGCTCTTTTACAGCAGGTATTGTGGCCGTAATGAACAATACWCTTCTAATAAGCAAACCAGCAATCGTTCATTTGGCTTAGAGAGTTGTGCAGGTGGTAAAGTTTCACTTCTCCGTATTGAAAGTGTGTGCYTGGCAACCACATCTCACTTGATTCTTAGGAATTATGTGGTAAATAAACTTCATACCATACACATCAAAGTGAAATGGATATWACGTGTATTTTCACAGAAAACAGAAAAATAACAGTATGTTGTAGGTGGAGCAACTATTTCAGTACAGATTGGACTGGATCTCAAGTCATGTTGATATTGCTGTTAGATGCTGAAATAGAAACCTTTTCCTTTTGCATGCGTATGAATTTTTAAGGAATTTCAAGACACAGTGACTGCAGTGAGCAAGAAAAATACAGTTCTGTCAGAGCCCTGGCAGGTCATGGTTTTGGTAATAGTGAAGTGAAAGTTTTCATGAAAAATAGGCAGCCATGTTTCTGAGCTGTTTTATTATCTGATCTGTGTTGCATAAACACCTATAAACAGAAATACATGGGAGTTTTTGAAACTAGTGGCATCAGCAGTGTCAGAGGATCCTTTTCTCTTCTAGCTCTCACAATAAGGCAAATCTTTATTGTAGTCTTTTTTGAAAAAAAACCTGGTACATGTGGTCACTGCCATGAAGTGCTATGACATGGAGCATGAATCAATTGAGACTAGAATCTCCACCATGCTCCTGCTCCCTATAGTTCAGGATGAGGGAGCACATTCCAGTGACTCAGGCATGTAGGTGTGTTCTCTCACCTTTTTGAAATGTAATTGAATAATTTTGGGGTTCTATTCCTTCAGTGTGGCACCTCCTTAGGACAGCCCTAGCTCCCATTAAAATTAACATCCATAATTGGTATGACTCCAAACTCTTGAATTTGCTTAAACCATTTATGATTCCACATTTTAAATCTGTGGTCCCACATTTTTCAGTGGATGCCCTGGAAAGGTCACTTGAAATAATTGTTTCCTGAAKTTCTACCAATGGAGTTGAGTCATCCCAAATTTTTGACACTGACTTCTAACAGACTGTGTCAACCGTCACAGCAACTGTGCTTTTAAGGCATTTCCTTCCTTAATGTATATATTGTCAGAATAGTCGTGCCCAAAATTCAGCACTGAATTCTGTCAATGTGTAGTTGTACAGCCCCATCTTCATCATGAGGGTTAAACTTTCCATTCACAATTTATTATCAAATCTAGACACCTAGATACAGCTGGAGATACAAAACTAAGATTTAAAGGCAGGTCAAAATTAGGTATTTATGTGCATCTGCAGCATAATGGACAGATTATTTATAGGAGGAGGGAACTAGTCTGGGAAATGATCACTGAAATAAGATAAGGTGGCAGATACTATGACAATCAGAGGAAGGACTTTCAGATATCAATTTTTCAAGTACAAATGGTTGCAATAGCTAAAGATGTTGTGGAAGCTCTTATTCAAAACACTGAGATCTTATCTGCTTACAGCTTTCACACAGCTGAGAGATATGATTTTTAAAAAATGCAAGTGTCACCATCAAAGGTGCTGCTGGCATCTTTTTAGAATGTGACAACCTTTTGGAATTTGCATTAATTAATTTTCAGAAGGTGCAAAAATAGTTTGCAGTCTGCAGCAATAAATGCTAACACATAGCTAAGGGATGCCAAGGAACAACCTCATATTGCTGAGTTTTGATTGTCATGTATATTATAGTCCTTGCTCTTTTGGGGATATGCACATGTATATGCACTTTTATTTCCTCCACATTTTGGGTGTGAAACACCCTCTAACTGATTACCCTAAAGCTAATTTCTTGTTTTACTTGAAAAACAAAATAACCCTTCCAAAATTTCTCACAGTTTTCAAACAGCAGTTGTAGAAATAACATTGCAAATTGTTTTAAGCGTTTCTTGCTTACTGTATTGCAGGTGAGTCTTCATCTGTGACATGTTTGGAGATAGATTTTAGGTTCCCTGACTTACTGGTGACTGGTGACATCTGCAAAAGAAACAAAAAAAGCAGGAAGGTAAAAAGATGATAGGCAACGGGGCCAACACATGTGCACAGAAAACCCACCAGCTTCCTGAATAAGGAGAGAATATACCTCGTTTGAAAAAAGAATGTCTATCAGCCATAAAATGTTAACTCCTGTGTGGTTACAAACAAGGAAACAGTGCTCCGCTATAAAAAAAAAGCTACTTGCAAATAAAAGAGTTTTCAGATATGCGTAGAAACAAAAGGTTACCAATATACTTAAAAACAGCTTAAAACACACATTGTCTTAAAAGATYTGTTATTTGAGCTGCTACAAGTGAAAAAGCAGAATGCTAAAAGGCCTTCTCATTGCACAGTTTTCACAAGAAAAACTTGTCTTTTTTAAGCCATTCAACAGCAGTTCAAATCACTCCAGGCTACCTTGTAATTCAGGTCTAAAAAATGCCCAAATCTGGAAAAGTAAATTGTCTCTTTTCCAAAGTAATTACTGGGTCTCTGTACAACTTCCTCCCTCACAAACGTCTCCTAATTCTAACAGTAATAATTTCATACTTGATGAAAGAATTCCCATAGGGAAATGTGAGTGCCCTTCCTGAGTTTTCAGGGACAGGTTATTTTATTAGTTTAATATTATTTTTCTGCTGACTTAGAATAAACAGGTCAAGCTCCCATTGACTTACTGAACTCATACATGCACACTGCCCACAACAAGCATGTTCAAACATTAGTCATTAGAATAAGTCTGCTGTAAAAACACAGATTGCTGGATTAGTTCAGACAAAAGCCAGCCTATTAGAATACAATAATGTAGCATTGGCAGGGTTAGGAAGAAAAATCATCTACTTYACACACAAAATCCTTGTTAATACAGCAATAAACTTGAGACTAAGCCAATGGTAAAAGTAAACACAAAAGAAGGAAATATAATACCACTGATATGAAAATACAAGGGAGTGTTGTGAAGGGAACGACTCCAAGTAATTAATACTTCCTTCAGCATTTATAACTGTGTGGTTCCTTGTCATATGCAGTTATGAATTCACTTTGCTTGCAGTCAAAACAAAATCTTTTTCAGTAAATCCTGTGTGAATGATGTCAAACCATTTTTTTACCTGCCTTTTTGAATAAATACTACAGAATCTTCTCACTGTACTAATACTATAATCAAACATGAACTGTACTAATACTATAATTAAACATGAACCATTCCAAAGAAAAGTAGAGTAAAATTCCCTAAAGTCCTGCTACAGAAGACTGATCTCTTATAAAAAAGACAGCTTTTTAGTACTTTCAGACACCTAAACACAGAAAATTCTCCTTGTTTTACAGTTAGAAGATTAACGTATTAATTAAATTAAGCTGCCTAACTGAGAGTTTCTATGATATGTTTTAAAAACAACTTACCACACAGCCTTTCATATATTAAAGCACTGTTTTTTAGTATGAGTACCAAGGAAARAAGAGCACACAAATGAAGACATCTGAATAGCAGTGCTCACCTCACATGGCAACTACTGAGAATTCCTAGGTCTGTAGAAACAGACTCCCAACTCTCAGTACTGTTTGACTATGACAGTTTTCTTACTTCATCCCTACAAACTTCCAAGCATGTAACGAAGGAAACTATAGACCTCACTGCCACTACCTCCTTTAGTCTGTCCCACACACCTTTGTGTCCCTCTTAGCCTGCTTCTTGACCTATTATTCCCATCGTAATCAAGTAAGAAGTACTGAAGAAATGAGGGGATCAGTGGCAGATACAAGGAAGCAGTGCAGGAGCTGGCAAAACAAGGGGATGAAGCAGCAGGAGGAAAAAGTGGCAGCTGGGAAAACAGGCAGGAGGTATTTGGCTGCAGAGGTGTGGTAACACACTGGGAACTCACTAAGGACATGTCAACATAAGGAGCAAGTCAAGGGAAGGCTGGAGTATGGAGGAGCTGAAGAGGCTCTTGCTCTCATCTTTGTCCATTTCTGAACCTCTCAACCACTTGTTAGCATGGGCAGTTCTCCCAGAAAGCTCCAAAGACCTCTGCATTGTTGTCATTGCCTCTGTACTAAGATTCAGCAAACCTGGTGTTGGAACAGGCATGGTGCGAGCTATTACACTCATCCAGATCACAGAGCTTAAATACTAATGCAGAATTGTTAGGGCAGTGTTTGCTTTAAAAAAAAAAAAAAGATACCCTAATGTTTCAGATACTTATGAATATTTTTCTATTCACAGGTACAAATACCGAACAGCACAAAAAATGAGCCCCTTTGGACAATGCCACTAATCGTGTTCAATTTTGTTGCCATGTTCTAATTCTCCCCGCATTCATGAAATATAGCCTACCAGAARGTGAAGAGAATATTAGTTCATATCAACTTTTACTTTATAATCACAGAAATAAAATTTGTAATGAAATACATATTTTCTTTTCTAAAAGGCTTGCTTGCTTTACAGCTCTTATTTTACATGTAACACTCTCTTGTTGCTACATAAGAAGCATCCAAGGCAATATAAATAAAGGCAAAATACACAAAAGCATATGAAGTTCCTGAACCCTGCTGTAGAATCCACAGCAGTCAATCAAGCATTAAACCCTTCCTGTGCAACTCATGGGAGCAATCAGGTATTTCAGAACATGCTTTCTAAAGCAGAGGCCACTTAAAGGAAATATTAGGGACAAAGTCTCATCCCAAGTCTATGTCTTTGTTAGTGCTTTCCTCTAGGCTGTGCAGAGTTATCCCTAAGAGTGAAGGTCTGCAGAAGATCTCTGGCAGATGAAGAGGAAGAAGGACAGAATAGAGTGGCGCAGGAAATCTACTCAGATGAGTCAAACCATAACAGTAAATTAGTTTGCTCCATAGCCTACTCTGCACAGAAGAACTCTCCCATAGAAACTGTTTCTACAGAACTTGATCTAATTAAAAACTCATTGGATCACAGATGGCAAGAATGAACATGTCTCTGCCTTTTCAGACTCATCTTTAGGACACTACACTCAGTATTAAGTTTGTATTTTGTTTTCTATTACGCAGTCCATGGATAAAAGATTCACAGCCGTGTATTTAACTCCCCAAAACTATGCCAATGCCTCCTGTCAAAACTATTCTAACAAGTCAACTTTGAGAGAAATGTTGTGACACCACACCACACTCATAGTTTTCTTTCCTGTTATTCTGCACACGTCCACACATTTCCCCATTAAATGAACAACTGACAGAGACTTTTGTTAGCAGAATTACATATGTTTYTTCTGCCATGACCTTTCTGTTTAAAATGCAATTAACTTAAAATTGCTTTTCCCACTCTCCAGTGTTTTTAAAGAACAAGCCTATCTAAATCAGATTGATCACATTCTAACCCACACATCTAACAGTATTACCTTAGTTGTGAGTATCTAGCAGAACCATGGCTCTATAWGCAAGAGAAACATTGGCATGAATTTCTATCTTTAGATAAAAGGTGGTCAAAACTGGTCAAAACTGCAGACATGACTTAACAATGACAAATACTGCATCTCAGAAATCAAACCCACTACATGAGCTTTTCAGGGATAACAAAAGGAGGAGGAAGAGGGGAGACACAATACTTCAGATTGAAGCAGTATGGTTTAGAACACCTGTTTTCAGTCTTGCAGCCTTGGCCTCTGGGAATTTCTATGAGGTCACAGTTTTGCATTAATATTTGCATAAAAATAGTTCATTCTATTCAGCAAGAGACTATGACAACCCAAGGAGAAAAATGTGGAAGGGAGAAGTTAGCTTGTTCCTGAGATAATATGTGTCACGCAACAGAATTTTTGGTTCTGCTTGACCAATTCAGTGGCTCAGCCTGATTCTCCCTATCTTTAAAGACTGGTCACCCACAGTAAATGTGCAAAAAATTTAATCTTTTCATTTCCCCCCAAGAGGTATTAATTTGCTTATAAAGCAGATACCTGCTYTTTCAATGACTCAAATAACACTACAGACGTAGGTGTAAATATTTTCTGAGACAGAACATGTAGCTAYCAGCTTACAAATAAAGTAGCATCACACGCACTTAAGAGAGAGCAATTCAACTTGCAGGTGCAGTTGACACCCTGGAGGGAAGGGATGCTATCCAGAGGGACCTTGAGAAGCTTGAGAGCTGGGTCTGTCCAAACCTCATGAAGTCCAACCAAAGAGAAGCACAAGGCCCTACACCTGGGTTGTGGCAATCCCAGACACACCTACAGGCTGGGCAGAGAAGTGATTGAAAGCAGCCTTGTGAAGGATTTGGGGGYGATGGATGGAGAACTTTTTGATGGAAAACTCAACATGGGCAAGCCATGTGTGCTCACAGCCCAGAAAGCCAGACAAATCCTGGGCTGTATCAAAAGGAGTGCGGCCAGCAAGTTACAGGAGGTGATTCTGCCCCCCTGCTCCGCCCTTGGGAGACCTCACCTGGAGTGCTGTGCCCAGTTTTGGGCACACAGCTGCTGGAACAAGTTCAGAGGAGGGTCACAAAGTTGATAAGAGGACTGGAGCACCTCCCTATGAAGGCAGGCTGAGCAAGTTGGGGCTTTTCAGCCTGGAGAAGCTTGAGTAGAGAATTTGTAACAACCTTTCAGTATCTGAAGGGGGCCTACAGGGAAGCTGGACAGGGACTCTTTGTGTCCTGATTTGAGCCARAACACGGTTAAATTTTGTGCAATAGCTGGAGGGACATGGCCAGGATTCAGATGTGATAGGACCTCACATCATTGCCAGGGGTGGGGAAAAGGACTCTCTTGGAAAAGGGCGTTCCTTCTAGTTAGAAACTTGGTGGGGGAAAGCCATCTGGCACTAATCTATTGTAACAGGCTCCACAGTGAGCATTTTTGGATATGAATCACTCTCTCTTTTGTACACTTTTGTTATTCATATTGCTGCTATTACTCTTCATTTTTTCTTATCTCATTGCTGTTTACAGTAAATTGTTGTTATCGAAACCCATGATCTTCACCTTTTGTGCCTCCAATTCTCAACTCTATCCCAGTGCAGTGGAAAGGGGA